CTTATTTTCAGGGAGGTCTTATTATTTTTGAGGTGCAAGAGGTGGCGAGTGTGATCACTTCATGGCTGCTGCTGTGTTGTAATATTTTGGGGGAGGGCTTATTTTAGTGCATGTGTTCAAAAGCCCGATTGGACATTAACTGGGGAGGTCTTATTTTCAGGGAAACAGGTTAATTTGATTAATCATTCAGTCATTCCCAGGTTGGTATTTTAAACATGATTCATATTTTGCTTACTTATCTAGCTTTGTTGAAGAGGAAAAATTTAAGTGTATACTAATTTAAATACATTTTAAAATAGTAACTCCAATGGTCTCATGCAAGTTAAACGATGGTGAAGATTTCTGGAGTGTCTGGACTATGTCTATGTTGTAAGAAATATAATTTGCGGTATAAACTTGAAGATGTATTTTTTTATATATTTACCTCATTTTTAGTTTATAATAGTTCATGCTCACAGTTGTTTAAATGGCATAATTGTGAGTGCATCTATAGATTTTACCTGGTATTTTTTATCAATAGTACAAATGTAATGCACATAATTAATGTTCTTATGGTTATGACATAGAAATTCTTGGAATCTAATATTATTTTATTAAATGACGTCAAAACTATTTCATAGTACTTAAAATCAAACTGTTTCTTCATAGTATTATGTTTGCTTTAAATTTTAACTTTTGTAGTAAAGTGATTGGAACTAAGTGTGATTAGAAAAATCATTGGTATACATTGTACTAAATGTAGATTTTTCTTCTTTGTTCAAATGATCCATCTTTCTCTCAATATGATTTACTCAAAATATCACTACAGTATAAAGTTATTTTTAAAAGATCTGCAGTCCATCTTTTTTATGTTGTGAGGTCATTCAAAGATTAATTTATAGTAGTATTATAGTGGGCAAAAACTAGTTTGGTCCAGTGAATTGACACTTTTAGTTTGTTATGGTTTAATAAAGTGTCCCTGGTTAAAATATTTCAAAATATAGTTTAAGTACATAGAATCTGTTTCTGATGGAATAGTTCTGCCAGACAAATTATGGCTGGATTCAGAGAAAGTTATTCATTCATTAGTTCAATTCATAAAATGTGTCTATTTTCTGCTGAATCCAGAATTGCATATTTTAATTTAGGTATAAAATTAGGGATTGCATAAAATATTTTCAAATTACTGTATTTTATTTTCTTAACAGACCATAAATAACCAAGATTGACCTTTTTTGGTATTGTTTTTATATCCTGAGTATATACCATACAATACCATACCATACCATACCATAGTTGGAAGGGACCTTGGAGGTCTTCTAATCCAACCCCCTGCCTAGGCAGGAAACCCTATACCATTCCAGACAAATGGCTATCCAACATCTTCTTAAACACTGCTGCCCCAGTGTTGGGGCATTCATAACCTCTGAAGGCAACTTCTCTTCCACTGATTAATTGTTCTAACTGTCAGGAATT